ATTGCTTTTGATACAGGAAAGAAAGAATAAGGCAAATAACTGAGGCTGTAAGAGTAATTTTGTTCAACATAGTGTCGTGACTCAAATATAAACCTGGGTAGGACTTAATGAGAATTTATTCAAAATATCATTAGCATAATTCCAAAAGTTATATCCAGTTCATATAAAAATTGTAAAATAGATAGCAAAGACAGGCTGGAGGTAGAATACAAGTTTTTGAGGAGGCAACTAGGTTTCAAAGCTGCTATTTGGGTTTAATTGATAGAAACATGGTAGAAATGAACACAATCAGTGTCATCTTTTAGAAATTAGAAGAGGCATCCAAAAATGAAAGGTGAAGATCTGTAGTATTAAAATTATTAAAACAAAATCATAAAATGATAAAATTAATAAAAAGGAACAGTAACCAAGCTTCTTTGAAGTTTATTGTTATGGAATTGTGACAAATTTTCTGTGAGTTGGAGGTTTTTATCTGCATACACCATCAGTAATCATTGGCTGATTACCACATTTACTGTTAAGTGGAAACAAAATTGAAACTTTAGATAGAACACATTATCTTGCTGTACCTTTAGATATACAAACGGGACTGTTGCTATGTTTATTTTTTGTGTTTTTAGGTACGTGTGTTGCAAAATATTATCCAAGAAAAAGAAAAGGAACTGGTAGCACAGAGAGAAAAGCACGAGCAGGAGCTCTTTAAATTAGCAGCTAAATCTGATGCGAGTGCTGACCTAGAACAGGTATGTTGTTTTGGAAAATCAATAGCTTGCTTTGATTAAGTTAGACATGGGAATTGGGAATCATGTGATTACTAACCTTTGCAATACAGTTGAGTTGCAAAAATGAAGATGAGTCTCTTTCTTTCTCTTCTGGAAGTTTTAACTCTTGTATTGATGGATTGTTTTCTTAAAATTTTTTGTAAATCTTTTTTTGCTAGCTGCTAAAGGCTTTGAAACAGAAGCTCCATGAAAAGGAAGAAGTCATGCTGGGAAGGACACAGGTGATAGATGTCTTGCAAAAAGAACTGGATGCCAAGGACCAGCAACTGAATGTAAGGGAGAGCTCACCAGGTTAAATACAAGTTGAAAAAGCTGTTTGATTGTGCACAGAAAATAATTTTGCAGAACAGATTTAGGAAGCTTAGACATGTACTAATAATGCAACCATGGTTGTGCAAACAAATTATTAATTCCAGTTGGGAAATTAACTTGAAGGAGAAGTAAAGTCCATAAAACATAGAACTGTCAACTCACCAGTCGTTTGTCTGGATTCATTTTGGGAACTTGCCATGTAGGGGACTTTGCTGTGGAAAGATTTCTACTGGTTAGAGGCTGAAGTGAACCCTAAAACTTTTTATTTCCCCTACCAAAGAGTGTTTGGCTAGTTGTGTGCCTCTTTTTTTGCTGCAATTCTTCTTAGAGCATTTTAACTATACTATTTCCAACAAATTTTCCACTTAGCAAGAGGTCTCCCAGAATCAAAATATTACTAGAAATAGATCCAGCTCAGTACCCAGGGTAGATGTTCTGCTCAGGTAGTTAAGGTCCATGGTAATTTAAGCCTGTTTGATTTGTACTTACCATTTGTTATGTCTCCTGCCTTATGCAGGGTTTGATTGGATTTTTTCTTCTGGGTTAGATGCATCTTCCCACAGTGATGGGGCAGGAACTGGTGGTACCCAGTGCTTGTGCATTGAGAGAACAGAAATGCACACCTGGAGGGTAGGGGGAAGGTTTGTTATCACAGATTTGACTATGACAACAGGAACTTAAAGCACTTACAACTGTAATGGAGCTCGGGATCAATATTAAAATAGCAGGACACCTTGTTTTGTTCAGATAAGCCGTTTTAACCATATTTAGGAAATTTTCTCTCTGCTGTTCTGCACAGCTTCTCTACTTGGACAGTTTATATTCCCAGATTTATGTACCATGAAAGGAGGTTTTTGAACAGCAGGTCTAATGTGAGTGGACTGACTGCAAAGAAGAAATAGAGAAGTTTGCCAGCTTTAATTGTAATGGATGTAGGTGGTGGCAACACCTGGCTGACATGAGAGTGAGCATCCTGAATGTTTGGGATCAATCTTCTGTGTTATTTGTGGGTTTGTTTGGTTTTGTTTTTTTTTAATGTTCTATAGGACCAAATGTTCTTTACTTTTTTTTACCCTATTTTCACCTCTGGGAAGAGGTAACATGCAGTTTGCACTCAAATAATGTTGCTGTTTTACTGAAGTCCCCACTTCTGTCATGGAAAGTCAGAGCTGAGTAGTTTTTGTAGTAGAGCCACATTCCCAACAGTAGCTTTGATTAGACTGTACGTAGGAATACAGATATAATATTTTCCAGTGGTACTAAAGGTTCTTTGCATTAAAAGATAAATGGCTTTTATTTGTTTTTACAGGAGATTAATGACAACCTGAAACGTGTTCTGTCTGAAAAAGAAAACCTCCAGTCTAAACTGGATGCTGAGAAGCATGTAATGAGAGCCCAGTTGAGAGATATGATGGAGAAACATGAGCTTGAAATGACAAAAGCTAAGGAGAAATATAATGCTGAACTACATGAAATTCAAGAGAAACATGAAACTGAGCTGCAAGAGAAAGATCAGGCCCTGTTTCAGCTTAAGAAACAAGTGGCAGAATTAAGTGGTAGAGGACAGACTAACTCAAAAGAAGTTACGGATCTGGAGTCTATAACCAAAGAGAAGATGGAAGATTTAGAAGGTATCCTATGGAAACTGTTACCTGTGAAGGGTTCCTTTACTCCTGACTGTTGTGTTGTATGCCAATTTCAGACCTCTTGCAAATTGGAACTACATTAGATTTGGTGGAAGAGTTATTGCCCCTCTAATGTAAAAGTATCTGTGCTCAAATACTGTTAATAATGAGGGTTATAGGAATACCAAGAGAAGTGTGTGAACTGTGGATTTCTTACTGTGTTTCTTTAAATGCAGTTCTCTTCTATGAGTGTATAATTTCCGGTTGCTAAAGGACTTAAACACAGATTTTGTATTAATAATCTTTCTAGAGTTTAAAACACTTTTTTTGTGTTGTATTTCTTAGTACAAGTGAAATTGAAAACAGAAGAGGCCAGCAAATCTGAAGCCAAGTTGCTGAAAATGAAGGCTTGGTCTAAATCCAGAATCAAACAACTGGAGGATGAACTAAAAAGTGTATGTGTAACATTATGTTTAATATTCCATGACTGTTTTAAGCTGCTGTGCTTGGAGATTTGACTGAAAAAAGCAATATAAGGGGTAAATGGAATAGTATAGTAATTTACTCGAAGTATTTCCATGCATGAATTAGTGTATAGAAATTGAATGGACATAAAATGTTGACACAGGATGAAGTTTCAACAAAAATAGAGCAAACTGGTGTTACCAGCATTCAGGAGTAAATTTGTTAGCTAGTTTATTGCACTCTGAAGTATTAGAAAAATGACTAAATATTATTAAAAGGTCAGGGAAAAAAGTTTCATTGGCTTTGCTGTGTTTCTGGTGTTCTGGTACCTGTGAAAAACTTTAAGTATTTTTCCTTTCAGTTTTCATCAAAGAATAATGATGTATCTGCCTTAAACAATCGTGTCTCAGAATTAGAAATTGAAAATGAAGAACTACAGTCGAAACTGCAATCATTGTATGAAATCAGAACACAAAATGGTAAACAGAATCTTTTTCTTTTGCAAATTATTTGAAATGAAGAGCTAAAGATAAGTTAACTTTCTCATTTGAATTTTCCAAGTGTCTCTTGTTTGAAAAGAGCTTCTGAAGTGACTTCATGCAACTTTGAATGAGAGGGTACAGTGTTTCAGTCAGTTACAGCTCAGCTTTTTCTTTCCTAAATCTACCTGTGCATAATTTTTGTTGCATTTAGGCTTACGCAGAGGATGTGCAAACTTTTCCTGGAAGTGGAAGAGGCAGCTTCTTAGGAGTAAAAATGAGACCTCTGGAAAATCTATTGGAGTATATATATACAATAAACTTCTGAGAGCAGTGGGTTTCAAGTAAATGAAGAATTACCTTTTTTTTTGTGAAGTTTTGAGAGAGAACATATTTTTCTCTTTCATCTTGTGTTATTTTCTCTGACATCTTTTGTACAAATGGAAACCAGGAATTTTCAGTTCATCAGTCTGAATTGTTGGCAGGTTAGTTTTAGAGCACCAGTATTTAATAATCAAGAAGTCAGTTTCATGGGTACATGGAAAACCAACAGAGGTCTTACTGAAATTAATTACCTGAATTCTAATTATCTTTCTTTTAAATATTTATTGCTCTTCCTGTTACTTTTGTGCCCTAATGAACCAAATTTACTATGTTTTTGTAGAAGAATTGCTGACTAAGCTGGAAGTCTATGAAGAGCAGCAAAGGAAGTTGCAAGCTGATCTTGACCAAGTTACAAAGAGAGCAGCTTCACAGGTTAACTGTCAAATTGATTTGTATGAGTTACTGATTAACTCAAACAGGGCTAATTAGACTTAAAAAGGTGTGTTAGCTGGATTTTGGAGCTGAAAATTAATTTAGTGATAAATAGAGTTGTCAGTGTCAGTAACTGTTAAGTTGGATAAGAAGCTGACAGGTTTTGAATTACTTAAGAAGGCTGATTTCTACTTATTTTTCCACCTACCTTAAATTGTATTTTTCCAAGGAGTTTATTATATATTTAGTTACATTTAAGATGAGCCATCAAAGTGTGGCTGTTATTTTGTACAGACTATGAGTAGCTTTCAGAAAGAAATAATAGCTGTAACCTTGACAAATGTACAGGTCCAGATAAGAAAATAAGGCTTAGAAAATATTCCTAAAGGGCTTTAGATGGATTAACAATTTACATTAGTCCCAGCAGCTTTGTGCAGCCCTAGCAGCAGAGCCATTTTGAAACAATTAATTATATTTGGCTAAAAGCATAATTGTTTTCTCCAAATTTGGTGGAGAAGTTGTTTTGTTGTTTTTTTCTTCTAAAATCTGAAAACAGTTCTTATTTTGATGCAAAATTTTAACAGAAAAAAGCTTGATGTAGATTTTGTATCTCACATAAAGACTTAATATTGTTTTACTTTGAAACCTTGCTAAGGTGAGAATGTATTTTGTTTAAAAAAGCCATTTTTTCCTTTAAAAAGATTAAAAGTGCAACTGACAGCAGCATTTCTGGTATTTTATGAGGTGATGATGCTTTTGCATGATAGCAATAGCAATAATGATCATCACTTGTGTGGCTTTTATTTATGCAAAGTCGTGAATGCTAATGAATTGTTTTTATCTGTGAATGGTTTATCCAGTGGAAATGTTACTTACATTTGCAGTGGGATTCAGGAAATCTGTTTTACTGTGGAATTTCTCTTCTTAGGCCAGTGAATCGGGTAGTGTGGATGAACTGCAGAGTCAGCTCTTGGAGTGGCAAGAAAATGTACCAGAATCAGAGGAGTCCCGTGATCAAGTCAGAGAAGGGAAATCTGCTATGGCCTTGAGAATGGCTCAGATTGAGGAGGAGAGAGAAGGTGAATTGTTTTATTTACTATAAAACAACTGTATTTGTACATGATCTATATTTGTGTGTTTGAGAACACACCACCGTGGCTCATTTCTGTACTCCTAGGATTTGTATAGCTAGTGAAATTGCTTACATTTGCAATTTCACCTTTTTACTATTTCCAGGAACCTGTTCTTCATGCATTCATCTTTTTTTGTATCATTTTTATGAGTAGCTATGCTTGTTCTGTTCTCCATCTAAGTTGCTGCTCCGTGAAACTTGCTGAATTCATTTCAAAAGCTCATTGTCTGCCTATGAACTATCAATGATAAAAAGTTCACCACTGTCACAGTAAAGCTGCCTGCCTAGAACATGCAGTGAAGGTGTGGGGAACTGTAATGCTAGAATTGGGTGAACGAAGGTGATCCTTCACTAAATTGTACCTGAGACAGAGTTTCTCTTTAAATATAATTAATGAGAAACCTTTCTTGGAATATTTAGCAATCTCTTAGTGTCACTTGTATAGGTCAGCTGGGTAACATGAGCTGGCAATAGTTTGCAGCTAGTTAATAATGTTAAATTACTCATAGAAAATAACATTTCAAGTCATCTCAGATTTTACAGTTTTCTAAATTATTGATAAAACAGTGAAGCAGCTTCTGTTAAAACTTACATAAATCTGGTTAAATTTCAGATAGTTTTTGCTGCTTTTTTCATGCCATCTAGTACTATATTGTACCTTTTGTCTTGTTCTCTGGGTGGGGATTGATGGCAAATTTGAATGTGCATGATCATAATGAATCCAGTTAGTTAATTTGAGCCTTCTGTTTTTAATCTGGACTTGAATAGTTTTTTCATGTCCACGGTCAGTTTGGAAGGTCAGTTTGCAAGTTCAGTTTGCAGACACAGGGATGGTTAAAGGACCATCTCTCTTTCTTTTTGAGCGATTTAACGCACAGAAGGTTTTGAAACTGAAAGAGAACAATGTTCCTTACATTAAAACTTCCTGTTCTCTGTGGTAACTTCAGATCCACGTGCAATATTAATTCCAGTTGTGAAATTTCATCTGCCTCAGCCCGTGTTTCATTTTGCAGTTTGTCCCCTTGGGATCAGCATGACCTTTCTGTTTCTTTTTTTCTCCTGCCGTTCCACCCGATGAGCACCCAGCGTCCCTTCCCCCTCCACTCCTACCCTCCTCTGCGATTTGGGCAGCCAGGGAGAACATTGTTTCCCATCAGTTTTGTGCATGCAGGTTCCTGCAGCTGTGGCAACTTGTAATGTACTGTTGCTGATTTCTTCTCGTTGCTTCTTTGGAGGAAATTGTCAGCAGTACCTTAGAGGATTTGCCATTGATGGTGTGTGGTTTCTAGCAATACACGTAACGAATGCTGGTTTCAACTTGATGGCTTTTTTTTTTACCTGCCTTGCTCCACCTGTTTCTTCATTTGTATTAACCATATCATCTTGCTGAATTTCTCTTTGTAGTAACAGCTGGCTCCATATTTATGTTGTCATTTGATCTGGAGGCAAATTTCTTGGCTTGCTGCAAGTGGTTGTGACGAAGTAGGAATCAAATTCATTTACATACTATTAGTAGCACTAGAAATTCAGTCGTATTTTTATCAAAAATTATAGCCTTTCCCATAAATGGGAGAACTTAACATGCATTAAAATGAGCTACCAATATTTTAAGGCAATATATAAACCCACTACTCATTCCATCACAGTCTATGACAATTTGCCATAAATGGCAGTTGTCTCCTGGGTGGAATATATGGGGAACCAGAAATCACAGAAGGTGCCAGTATACACTAAAAACAATTGATTACAAACAGCTAAAGATGGTGATGCTTAGTGTGAATAGTGACACAAGGAAATACTGATGCCTGATTAGTTAATGTAAATACAATGTGTATCAGGTGAAAAATGTTCTGGGAAGTTTTTCAGTTTTTGTCTTTAGATGTAATTGGAAATTAAAAGCTCCTTAAGCTGCTGTTAAATGTTAGAAAATGTGTTTACTTGCTGATTGTTGTTAAAGCAATGCTGAATTCAACTGCCAGTGTTTTAACTCTTCCAAAAAATTCTAATCCTGTTTCTTACTTCCATTTTTCATGGTTACGATTATGTTAATTTCATTTTTTTCCCCCTATCAAATTAAGAGCCTAAATATTTTGGGTTCCTAAAGAACTGTGCTGTTCCTTCTGATTATACTTAACAATAGATTACCTCAATTTCAACTTCCAAGACATTTAATTATTATTAATTTTAATTTATTTTTTCCTCCAAGGAAGGGTTTAAGTTCTTACCTGGAGCAATGTTTGCTTCTTGAATCACTTGTCTGCTTTCAGACACAGTTCTTGTAAACAGAGGTTTAAGGCATCTGTCCACAATTTGGCATTTATTTTTAGGGCTTTGAAGAAGTGTGTATAATGATTAAAAAATAAAATAAAATTGTAACATCTATACTTGAAAATAAAGAAAGGTTTATAAAATGAATGCTGATGAAGTGACAGTGCCAGAAGCCAAAATGCAATTAAAACCATAAGTAAAATCCAATTTAGCAGTCCCTCTTTAGGAGGGTTCTTATTTTTGCATTAACTCTTTTCCTCTGAGGTTTTCTGATAACACGTTAAGTATGTGGTTTTGAAATATTACAGGAAGAACTTAAATCTAGTAAATGTTACAGAACTGTGTTTTAGTGACATTTGATGTATAAGTAATCCTTGGAAAACTCAGGTGAAAGCTGAGGATTCCCATCAGGGCTGATCCTCATTGTAGTTCCTGGTGTTTACCTAACAGATGCATTGACATGAGTTCCCTGAATTTTGCCTGCTTCGAGGACAACTGGGGATTGATGGGGTTAAATGGAAAGCTGAATTTGTAATTATCTAATTAATCAGATTTTCACTTGAAATATGGAGCCACCTTTACTTCCATTTCTTTTCACTGGGTGTTCTGTTTTGTCTGCTTTGCATGAAACCTCTGTTTCCTACTCTGTTACCCCAAACATGTTTTGTCATATCACAAAACAGATGGGAATGTACTTTAAAGGAAAAATAATTTCTAACAAATCACATTGGTGCATACCTAAACTTTCCTATTCTGAATTTATTCAATGTGTTTATTTACAAGTGATTCTGTATTTGTCTTAAGAGGAATGGTATTACTAATTAACTATTAAGATGGTTTGATGCCAGTTTGCAGTGTAACACATGCTTGTGACTTCCTCAAGTTATCTGGCTGTCCAGCTCATACTAAGAGTCAAAAGGGACACGTGTCATTTCCATAAATATGTGAGTGTTGAGATTATAAAACCTACAGCTCTCTCAACTGATGCCCTTGTCATACTAATTATGTATATTTTAACCTGGTAAATGGAAATGAGATGTAATTTGGCATTTTAATTGGTTGCCGTACTTTTTTTTTTTGGTATCAGCATAACCTCACCCTTTCCAGTCTCCTGTATAAAGTCTTCATTTAGAGCTGGTGAAGAAGTAATGTTAGACATCAGTTTGCTTCTTCTTAGTGAGATCTTCAGACTTTATTCTTGTGTTCTACATAGTAATGTTGGAGGGAAATCACAAAGTGAACGTAGTGATTGCTTCTTTAATCCTGTTCTGTCAGTCATTCGTAGGGACTTCAGTCTGTCCCTGGTCTCTTTTCATGTAGTAGTGTCTGATATAAATGTAATTGCTTTCCTGTGGCACAAAACTGATTGAGGATGACTGGTTCTTTCCTGGCTGCTCTGATCCAGCCATGGTCTCAGGGCAACAGGAGCTGGAGGAGGAACTGACCACAGTTCAAGAAATGGGCAGGCTGCAGCAGGGAAGACGAAAAAGCAGTCAGACCAGCAGGAAGCTTCAGGTAGGTTTGAAGAGAGGAGTTTATTTTTACCTCTATGTTAATAAAAATAGAGCCAGTACTATTATTTATATGATGCTTCATGCTTACATACATGAAGGGCTTAAGAACTTAGGTTGCTTATGGAACTGAACACTTTGCTACATTTACTCCTCCTCTTTGTAGCCAGAAGATGAAAAATTGCAATGTCACTGTTCCTTTTTGCTCCTCGATTCTGCTTAATTGTACATGGAAAAATAATGAGCTTCCCTCTGGAGTCATTCACATGCTTAAAGCTGTGTGCATGCTTAGTATGTTAAGGCCATTTTTGATTTAGAAACAGTCTTTGCAAGTCTCTTTCTTGCTGGAGCTCTACTTAATAATTATCCATTAGTATCAGTTCATTCAGCTGAACTTCTAGTAGTTGTTGCTGTAACTTGCAAGAAAAAATGATGATCTTTTGTTAGAAGAATTAGGATGTCACTGGGAGAGTAGTTTGATGTTAAGTTTACTCCAATACTTTACCCTGAGGTTCAGAGGACCCTATCAGCTGTAGCAATCAGGGGACCAACTAAAGTATCCAAACATAGTTGCCTTTCAGGTGCCTGAGGGTGTCTTCAAAGTCTTGGCAGGTACCAAACAAAACTTGTGAGACACTTGTTTCTCTGGGAATAACAGCTGGGAGCTGGGCAGGTGACTCTAGTGTCCCCAGCGATCCCATATATTTACATTGAGTCACCTGAACGACTTGCTAAATTTAAGGGCTTTTAATTGAAACTGCGCCTTCAGTAACAGAATATGTCTTTTACCCTTGCTACTTTTCTTCTTTCAATTAAACTTCTTTCTCCTGTTTTATGCTTAGGAGGGATACAACTTTGATAGAAAAGAATGTTTTCAGGAACTGAACATCACCTTGGACAGCACTGATTCAGCTGAAGGAGAAAACATGGGAGGTTGGTGGCCAGAGTACACTTCACCTAATGCAGGTGTGATAGCAACTAGACAGTTTATTAAAGCATGCACAGCATCTGTAGTTTGTGTCTATTTTTGTTTTCAAATTCAACTAATAACCCATTTGTGGTGTATTCTAATCTTTGTTGAATTTTTTTGGCTTGCTTTTTCTTCCGTTTCATTTCAAAGCATGTGCGTGCTGGATGAACTGCCTAGTTTTGGTTCAGAAGTAGATTCTAAATATGACCAAACACTGAAATTGGCTGAGCCTTTGTGCCCATGAAATATCCTGTGTGGCAAGATAATTTATTTCTTTAAGTTATGAGTCTTGTTCCTGTGAATGTGTTTTCAGTCTATATAACTGTTATGTTGCAAACCAGAATTGCATTCCGCTGCTGTTTGCTTTTCATTTAAAATCAAATTCTTATTTTTTTAATGCAAGTGTTTTCACACTGATGGTAAAGGCTGCAAATATCCCTTACTGTTAAAATTGAAACTTAGGTGGAAACACGCTTGCAAATTTGGATACAGACCATCTTATTTTGTTTGTTAAAAATTGCTCAAAATCTGACGCTGCAAATACACGATTAACTTGTGATTAAAGTGACATGAGCCACACTGCTGATTGAGCCACAGTATTGTTTAGAATATTTCTGCCAGGTTCTCAGAATTCTTCCTTTTGGTTTTTCAACAGTAAAGGGTACTTTTGCCATCCTTATTTTTGGAAATGCAAGGCCTCAGGCATTTCCCCTGGAAATGGTTGAGATCTGGTTGTGCCCAACACTGGTGAGAATTGTGAATAAAAAGCTGAAACCATTTCTAACTAGACTTCAGGAATTTTAGCAGGCTGCTCTTGAAATCAATTCTGCTTTGACTTAAGTAGGTTTACGGAGTGTGGTTGAAGAGTTGGAATTGGAAAGGAATCAACTGCAGGAACAGATTCTTTTCCTAGAAGAACGTTGTCAGGATTTGGAAGATCGAGTACAGCTTCAAGGTAGAATGGAGGCTCTTCAGGTGAGTTTCTGAAGTTGTGTAAAACCTGATAGAAGAGAATGATTTTATTTTCTCTTTCTGTTCTTACAATCATAACCTACAGTAAGACAAAAACATCAATTTGCAGCTGGCAAAAATGTCCAAAGCCTACTTTATACTTCCTCATTGTGTTGGCAGAGGGTGTACACGTGTACTGTATTGTGCTCTGAAACTGAAGCCTGTAACTTCTGTTCAGCACATGGGAAAACTTGTTTGGAAGTAAGCTTAGTTATTTCTTTTAGAAATATATGAAAAGGTAATATGATTTTTATTATTCTTTTTAGAGGGCCTTGGTCAGGAGGTCCAGAATTAGATTTTGTTACTGCTTGCATAAGTCTTCCTCTTCTTACATCCTTCGAGTTTCTTTTCTATAAATCTGTGTGGATGTATATTATGGTTTTACATATGTATATGTAAATATATGTATATATACATAATATACCTCCACACAGATTTATAGCAAAGAAACACTGTAAATAGAAAAAAAAAAAATGTTTACTTAGATATATATGCAATCTAAACCCCAGATACCAATTTTATATATATTTGTATTGTAAAATTACTCACTGAAGGCACCAACAGGAACATTAATGTAAATAATGAGCAGAAAAGTTATTTTTAGTATTTCCTGATTGACAAGTCACTGTGTTTGATAATTTGTAAGCCTTAATCATACAACTGATTTCTTACTTATGCGTAATGCTTGGTGCATTGCTTATAGTTCTTTAACTGTTAAGTTGTACTTGTATAAAAAAGAATTAACATTAAGATGAAAGACAGCCTGATATTAATTATTATTTGAGATTCTTGTAACAAAGCCTTTCAATACAGGTAACGTTTGGTGTAGATGAAGAAGGGCAGCTAATGAGGGCGGTACAGGTGTGTTCTGCCTCCTCCACAAGGCTAGCTTGTTTTCATGAGAGGTGACAAGTTTGCCATGTTTGTCCTATTTGCTGTTGATTCTGAGTACGTGTTCTGCTTTGGGGTTTTGGTTGCTGTTGTCAGATTTCTTTTTTGGTGGTTTTATCTTTTGAATTGGTGCAGTGGATCTGGCTAGAGTAAGAGATTTGTGGTGCATTTGAAAGACCAAAAAAAAAAAGCTGTGTGAATGAAGCTTGCTTCCCTTTTCTTCTCCCCACCAACCCCCAGGTTTGCATTCCTTAAACCTGAAAAAATAGGTAAAAAAACCCTGTGGCTTTGCTACAGTTTGCAAACCATGAAGAAAGTGGTTTCTTTTTTAAAGCAGTGGTTTTCCCTGTTAAGATAAGTAAGCTGCCTTAACACAGTCTGTGTGTGTGTGTTGTTTTGGGTGTACAGCAATCAAATCATCCTTGAGTTGATGCTACCACAGCATTGCTGAGGGTGTCTCTGAAAGGTAGGTTGCATTTTGTTGAACTAATATCACCTCTGAACTTGTGATATTAGTGTTGCATTTTGCACTGATACCCCCTCAAGTGCTAGAACAACAGTTCCTGGGTAGGACAAATTTCCTAGAAGAGTCAGATTTTCATGACTCTTAGTTACCTTGTGCTGTTCTGGGTGTTTGTATGTGATTAATCCTTCCTCATGGTTGTTTTGTTGCAGAATGAAAACGAACGTTTACAAACACAACTCACCCAGTTACGCAACCAACAAATGAGAGATGCAGAAAAGAATCAAATCCTGGTCTCTAGCTTGAATGAGCAACTTAAAGGGTAAAATAAAAGTTCTTTACCATTCTTTTCAGGATTAGTTTTCTTTGCTTCAAGCTTAAACTTCTAATGAGAAGGATGATCTCCTGATATACTTGAGAAACAGGTACTTGATTCCTGCTTCACTAATGGTATTTTTGTACCTGGAAATTTAAATGGAAAGTGTAAAAATAATTATTCTTTTAGGAACATAGTTCAGGGCTAACAAGTCTAGAAAGTTTAAAGCAGGCTTTGTTTTCAGAATATCTAAATGTGTATTTCCTTCTTAGATTAAGTGACAGAAATAGCTCCCTTGAAACTTCGCTTGGAGAAAAAGAACAAAAACTGTTGAGTGTGACAGAAAAACTGGGAGAAATGGAAACTTTGAGGAAACTGCTTCAAGAAAGGGACCTTCTGAACAAAGAGCTTGGGGAGAAATGTGTGCATACTGAGCAAAAAGTAAGTTAAAGTTGTTGCTAAATAATATTTAATTTATTAGAACTGATGAGCATTAGCCATAACTTCCTAGTTTTGTCCCACTAGCAAGATTCTTCTTTTCCCTGTCTGAAGGTTTTTGCTGTTTCTTTTCAGTTTTGTTCACTTCAGGTAATTGCTCTCCATTAAGTTGGGTGTAAGGATTTCTTAGACCCAACACAAAGTATTTCTTTTACTGGGGTGATAAGTTATCCTCTTTTATTAATTTCAAAGTATAAACTCAACATTGTAAGACTAACATCACAGTTTTAATCTAATTATATATATTTCTCTCACATTGACTTTTATTTTTTCATACTAAGCTGAATGAGGCCCTAAAGAAATGCAATGTTTATGAAGTGGAGAACACTGAGCAGAAAACAGTCATCAGTGATCTGACAGAAAAAGTTGCTATGCTGAAGGAAAAGGTAAAAATAAAAGTTAGAGAAGACATTTTATGTTATTTTGATGTGGCCCTTTATAATGTCAGCAAAATAGCAGCCATAGCTGCTAAAAATGTCATACACTAAACTTTCTGTATGCTAAATATAAAGAATAACATGGTGATCTCATGATGATGCAGTTGGGTAGAGATTGATTGCCTTAGGTACTTGGTCTTCATGTGGCGTGTAACTTCCATTCACCCTCTAACATATGTTTGAACTATTCTTGTAACATTATTTTTTTGGTGTTTAGACATTGAAGCAAGATGGTGTGGTAGAGTCCATGCAGCTGGATCTGGACCAGACAAATGAAGAGCTTGACAAATTGAACACCAGCCATTTAGAAGAAAGATCTCAGCTTATTCAAGACCTCCAGAAACGGGAAAGAGAAATTGATAACCTTAAAGAAACACTGGCAGAAAAAGACAGGGAGATGTCTGTCCTGTCTTTGAATATGACAGAATATTCTGAGCAGGTTCTCATTCTGAAGCAACAAGTGCAATGCAAAGAGGAAGATATTAGAGGGATGGAAGAGGTTTTATCAAAGGCTGAGAGAGAAACTCATTTACTGAAGGAAGTACAAACAGCTGATGTAAGAGATGCAAGCATGAAGATATCTGTCCTTTCTGAGGAAAGTAATACCCTGAGACTAGAGCTAGAAAGAGTTAGAGTTGAGAGTGAAGCTAAAACCAAAGAAAATGAGGAATTAATAAGACAAAGCAGTGAGAACAGCATCATGATTAAGGATCTCCGGTCTGAAATCAAGGCCAACAATGTTGCCTACCATAACAAACTTGCAGAGTGTGAATCACAGATTACTTTGCTGAAAGAACAACTTAGTAAATCATCTGAAAAGCTACAAGAAGCAGAGGATAAGCAAAGAAAAGAAACTGAACACTTGAAATCCCAGCTTGAGGAAAGCAATACTCTAAAGGAAAAATGGAACAACTTGCTTAAAGAGAAAGAGAGTAAGGCACAGACACTTGAAAACGAGTTGAAATCAATTAAAGATTCATACAACAAACTGGTTTTGGAAAATGCTAAAAGAGATGAAGAGCTGGCTGAGTTATCTAGGAAGCTTATAGAAAATACTGAACACCAGGAAACAATTAAAAAAGAATTACAAGAGAAACAAGAGTGTGTTATTTCATTAGAGCAGAAGCTTGGGGTTTTGGAGCAGCAAAATGAAGAGAGTAAACTTAAATTAACTGAAGATCTGAAAGCCAAGGAGACATGTTGCAAAGAACTCAATAACCAATTAGATGAAATACATAAACAAATTAACAAGATGGAAATAGAGACACAGGAGAAGGTTTCAGCTAATAAACAATTGCAGGCAGATCTCGAAGGGAAGGAAGAAAAACTGGCAGAGCAAATAAAAGCAAATGAATATCTAAAAAAAAGTATGGATATGGTGAAAAAAGAGAAGGAACAACTAATGAGTGAAAATGAGAATTTGTCGAAACTCCTGGATGCAAAAGAGAGTGAATTGTTACAGAAAATGCAGGCTGTGGCAGAAATAGAGAATAAGTTTTCTCTTAGTGCTGCTGAGTATGAAAAAACTCTTTCAGTACTAAATGGTGATAAAAAGACTCTGGCAAAAGAGGTTGAACAACTGTCAATACTTGCCAAGCAAAAAGAAAATTCAGTTGCAGAACAGCTGCAGGAGAAAACAAAGGAGTGTGATTTGCTGGCTGGTCAGTTGTTTGAAAGCAAGGAACAGACACAACAGTTGCAGGAACAAATGCAATCACTTCTCATTGAGCTGAAGGATACAAAGGACAAAGAAATAAAGAAAGATGAAATGTTAAATAATAAGTTATCTGAATGTAGTAGCTTGATCCAAGAGATCAGCCATAGTAATGAAAAGAACTTACTCCTGCAGGAACAAATTCAGAGCATAACTTTGGATTTTGAAGCTGCCAACAGGTCTCTAGAAGAGAAAATCCTTCAAAGTGATTCATTACGTAAGGAAATGGAAGAGAGCAAATCTTGTGTTGTGGAGTTGCAGGATGAAGTTAAAAAACTTAAAGATGAAAAAACAAAGTTATCTCAGTTGGTAGAAGAAAGAGACCTGACTGTAAAAAGTCAGGGTTTAGAACTTGAGAAGCTTCATAGGCAAGTTTCTGAAAAAATGGAAGAAAGTACAATGTTAAATAATCAGCTACAGCTGCTAAGCAAAGAGGTGGATGTGCTCAAGCATGAAAAGCAGGACTTTGCAAGCCTGTTGAGTGAGAAGTCATGTGAATGTGAAGTGCTTCAGTCACAGCTGGTACAGCAACAGTCTGAAATAACTTCAGTGAGGCAACAAGCACACACGGCAGCTCTGGAGAATGAAAAATTGAAAGTAGAGGTTGAAACCTTGACTGTTACGGTGAAGAAAAAGTCAGATGAAGTGGCTGCTTTAACCTCACACTTGTCCCAACAAAGTCATAATATTTTAGCTCTGAAAGACCAAATTGATGGCCTGTTGCTTGAAAAAGAGAACTTAAAAATTGTCTTTGGTGAAAAAGAAACTCTCCTTTCTGAAAAGGAGGCTTTGATTCAGCAAATGAAGGATAGTAAAACTGCAGGAGAAGGGCAGTATATGCAAATCATTTCTGATCTGCAAAACCAAATACAAACCCTAGGTTTTGAAGCCAGCCAGCTTAGACATGCAATGCAGGAAAAAGAAAATGAATGTAAGAGGCAAGTCCAAGAATTAAAGTTATTAAAAAATAAATCTGAAGAGTCTGATGTACTTAGGGTTCAACTGTCTGAGAATATGCAGGTAATTTCTGACCTTCAATTTCAACTTAAAAATGTGACAGAAAAATCATCCCAGTTGAATGATTCAATTATACAGAAGGATGAATCTTTAAAACAAAAATTAGATGAATACATCAGTTTAAAAGCACAACTTTCTGAGGTACAGGAATCTTCTGTTTTGCTGCAGAAACAGTTGGAGCTTTTATCCTCTGAAACAAAACAATTAAAAGTGCTTGTTTCAGAAAAAGAGTTAACCATCAACAATATGTCATTGTCTACTGAGACTTTAAAGACACAGCTTCAAGAGAAAGAGAATGAATGTGAGGTCTTAAAGAAGCAAGTGGTAGAGCTGGAGGAAGTGAAAGTTAATTTACAAAAAGACATACAACATCAGAAGAATGTAATAATGGACTTGGACCAGTCGTTATCAGAAAAGGAGTCATCTCTTATGGAAAATAAAAATCTTATCACAACTCTGAAGGAGAAAGCTGGGAATGATGAAGAGAAGACACATCTAATTACTCAGCTCCGAAATCAGGTACTTGAACTAACCCAGGAGCTACAGAAATCCAAAGAACTAGTCAACGAGAAGGAAAATGCCTTTTTATCTCTTCAGGAGAAAATGGAAGCACAGAGTGAACTGAGAACTGAGTTGAATGCAGCTCTCGGGAAAAAAGAAGAAGTTATTGCTGGGCTGCTTAATTCTTTAAAGGAAAAAGACATGAGGATACAGCTGGCAGATGGCAACGTTGGTGTTCTGACGAATGAGGTTGATATTAATCAGAAGAAAATTGATTCTTTGACAATTGAACTTGACTCTCTTAAAATTGAGCACCAAAAAGCACTAGACCAGATAAGGACACAGGAAGAAGAACTGCAGCAAAAAGACGTGGCTGTGGAGTCTCTGCGTGTGATGTGCGCTGAGCAGGCAGATAACATTGAGTGTTTGAAGTTAGAGTTGAACAATGTAAATTCCAGATCATCTCAAGAATGCCATGACAACGAGCTTCTAGTAGGCAGTCTGCAGTGCCAGGTGGAGTCTTTAGAGAAAGAAAAAAGTCTTTTACAGGAAGATGCTGATAAACTGGTGGCTGAAAACACTCGACTTACCGAGTTGCAAAATCAATTGCAAAAGAAACTGGAAGAGCTTCGAGAAATCAATGAAAAGCTGGAAACCAGTGAGAATTATTCAAGAATGCAGATAGATGCTGTCAAGCTGCAGATGAAGACTGAAAAAGAGAAGTTACAGATGCAGGTTAGTGTGAAGGGTGAAGAACTTTCTAAGTTGGAACATAAAATAGAGTCTCTAGAGCAAAGTCTGCTCCAGTCAGAAAACAAGTGGGTGATGGAACTTGATAGGGCAACTGTACAAAATAATAATCTTACTGAGCAATTGAGTGGTTTAGAAAGTGACATGAAATCCAAGGATAGGAAAATCCAGGCTTTGCAGCAAGAGCTGGATCTTATAAAAGAGAAATTAACTCAAACCTTATCTCCATTACTTAGTAGTAGGCTTTTATGTAAAGAAACGAGGGCACAGACCTCAGATTCTGAACTGCAGCTCACTGATAGTAAAATTCAGTTGGAAGACTTCTCCAGTCTGATAACCACTATTTTGAGCAAAGAAACAGAAGGAGAACAATTGCAACTGGTACTTTTAGAAAAACAGAAAGAAATAGACACCATGAAAAAGGAATTAGAAAGTCTGCAGTCACTTCAGGAGAAGAATGAGTTGCTGCAGAGTGATATGGAGAAGATGGAAGGCAAATACAAATCTGAAATTGAATGTCTGTCAAAAGAAATGGTCACAGTCAAGGAAACATTAAGTGAACAACAGTCTCTCTTGCAAGAAAAGGAAGAGTCTTTTGCAGAAATAAATAAGCAGGTTGAATTTCTTCAGGAGAAGATAAATAAGTCAGAAGAAATAGTAAGAACCAGTCAAAAAAACCTACAAGGTGAAGGTAAAAAAGTAGCAAGTCTCCTTGAAGAAATGGGAGAAAAAGATCAACTAATCAAAAACTTAACTTCCCAGGTAAATCAGCAGAAGGATTTAATTTCTGGTCTAAGCCAGCAACTGAAAGAAAAGGACTCTTCTGTTACCCAGGTCATGGAGTCGTTGTCTAATGAAATGCTGCATTTTTCTGAAGAGAGAAATACATTAAATACCAAACTGCGAGACCTGGAAGCTGTTCATAAGAGTTCTGTGGGAGAGCTAGAGAGAGTAATGCAAGAGCTTGAGGATTGTAAGAAGGAACTGGAACACAGTCAGGGTACATTAAGCAGTAGAGAAGCTGTGTTTAAAGATTTAATGAATGAAAAAGAGGAGATGCAGGTTAACCTGGAGAAAATGGGCAAGGAAAAAGAGAATCTGAAAAAGAAACTTCAAGCAGCATTGATAATAAGACGAGATTTAATGCAAAAAGTTGGAAAGCTGGAAAAGAGTGGACAGGAAGAAATTGAAAAAGAGCAAAAAAGAGCAGAGGAGTTGTCAAAGAAAGTTAAGGAGTTAACAGAGAAGCTGGAACTAGTTGAAGTCCAAAATAAAGATTCTGAGTCTCATCTTAGAGCTCTGAAGCAACAGCTTTTAGAAAAAGATGCCAAAATAAGTGATTTGACTGAAAATTTGTCTTCCAAAGCCTCTTATTTGGAGGAACTGAAGTGCAATATTGCAGAACTTAATGATGTTATTGCTGCAAAACAAGATCTATTTGAGCAGAATCTAAAGTCTTTAGAGGAAAAGAACTGCATGCTTGCTCATATGCAATCTATGCTCGATGAAAAAGCAAATGTGTATGAAGCGGAACGTTCTCAGCTGCTTGTAGATCTTGAAAGAGTGAAGTCTGAAGTCAAGGAGAAGGAAGAATTGTTGAAAAAATCCAGTTCAGAAGAGCCTGATATATGTCTTGGAGACAGGAAGAAGTGTCTGGACCCCTACACTGTCATGAATCAATTGAGAAAAGAAAAAGAAGCTTTAGAGAGGGAGCTTTTGGTCAGGAAAGAAGATATGGAAAAGTTTCAGAAAGAGAGGGAAGAGCACAATAAACTTGTAGTAGGTTTTGATGAACAAAAAACCTACCTTGAGAATCTCAAACAAGAACATAAAGCACTCCTGGAAGTTCTTCAAACAAAATGTGAAGATCTCGACTTGAATCAGTTAGGAAAGTATCCTCTAGGGAAGGAGCTGGCTGCACCCAAGGCAGTGCTGGGAGAAGAAGAAACTGACCCGAGGAATTTGGGATCAGACAAGCAAAGAAGCAAATCTGAGGTTGCATCCTTAAGAGAAACAGAAAACATGATCCCTTCAGTGGCAAGTGAAGACAGAGAGTTAGCAGAGCTAAGAAATAATTATGCACAACTTTGGGAGGAAACAGAAATGTTAAAGAAAGAGTTGAGAAAAATATCAGCTGAATTTGGTGATGAAAGAGAAGAAACAGTCAACTTAAACTCTTGGAGACAGCAGGAGCAGTACCAGGAGCCATGTAAGGGCAGCTGGTTGGAGGACATAAAGCAGCTACAGAAAAAGCTGGAAGCATCTAAGGCTGAAGTTCTGGACATCCAGAGAGTGCTTGAACATGTGAATAATGAGAAAGAAGCACTTGCTAAAAAAAGTGAAGAGGATCACAAGATGAACCAGGAGCAACTGCAAAGATGGAGAACTGAAGTGAAGAAGGAGGTTGCAGAAAAGAACAAGGAGATAGAATCGTTGCGTTCTTCACTTACGGATGTCAAAGCTAAACTTGATCAGGAAAAGGAATCACTAATCAAAGCTGTGAAGGAGGGCCGAGAGGAGGCTCATCATTACAAAACAGCATTTGAAGAAATGAAGAGCGAAAGAGAGAAACTTGTCAGTTGTTTAGAAAAGTCCAATTTGGAGCTACTTAATATGAGCAAGGAGGTGAAACATCTCAGTGAAGAAAACAAAAAGCTTCTGGTAGAGCTACGTGTGCTGCATGAGAAGCCTGAGATGAGTAGACCTGTGGGGTCATGCAAAGAGCTTAAGGAAGCTCAGGAAGCTCCTGAGTCCTTAGGAGGAACTAAGCTGAGGGAAGAAACAGAATGTCAAATCCAGAAACAAGCACAAATGATTGAGGTAAAAAGTGCAAATGTAGCTGATTCTAAACCACAAGAGCAAAGAGCTACAGCAGAAGAGAAGTCCAGAGAGCACCTTCAGAGAAAATTACAGGCAGCTTTAATATCACGTAAAGAAGCCCTGAGAGAAAATAAATATCTCAAAGACCAGATTGATAAGCTGATGTTGGAAAGGGAAGAACTGGTGAACAAGACAGGAATGCTTGAGCACTTGTTAGAGCTTGGTAGAGAAAACCAAAGTTCAAGTGCTGTTTCTCCATTGCCTGAAGAGGAGAGCCTTGTGTCTGAAAATGCTAGACTCCTGACTGAAAATGAAAACCTCACTGCAGCATGTGAAAGTCTTAAATCCACCATGGAGACCATAGTTCAGGAAAAAGAGGCCTTTTCTTGCCAACTAAATACCTTAAAAGATTCTCAGACAGTTGAATTAACAGGATGGAAGGCAAAACATAGTGAATTAAAGCAGGAGTATGAGTCGCTGCTTCAGGCTTATGAGAATATCAGTAGTAAAATAGCAGATATGAGGCAAGTTATTGATCTCGCTAGGAAAGAGAAGCAAGAGGCTCTTCAAAAGCTCAGGGAAGGAGAATCTGCAAAGGAGGCTCTTGAGAAACATTTACAAGAACTGATTGGTGAAAATGAGGTTATTAAGAATCAACTGAAACAACTCAGCGAAGCCAAGAGAATGGAAGTCGAAGAGTTACAAAGTAAGGCAGAAAGGCAGATCTGTGAGCAAGAGGCAAGGATGCAGGAACACCAGGATCGTCTTCATGAACTCACTGATCAGAATCACCAGCTCATGGAGGAAAATGAACAGCTGAAACAAACCTCGGAAAATTTAAAGCAGGCTTTAGAGAAAATTCAGAATGAAAACGATACCCTTCATAACAACATCACCGTAACTAAAGCAGCTTTGGGAGAGCTCCAAGTTCAAATGGAAGTGTACCAGAATGATATGCAGTCTAAAATCAACGATGCATTGTGTGAAAATGAATCATTGCTAAAAGACATTAATGTGTTAAAGGATCAACTCTCTGAAAAAGAACAAGATGTGCTTGTCCTAGAAGAAAAAATAAATTTGATTTCCGAAAAAGCAAAAGAAACGGAAAAGTCTTTGGACCATAAAAGTAATTGTCTAACAAAGCTGGACATGGAATGTAAAAGCCTTACACAAGAAATTGTTAGTCTAAATGAGAAAGTTAAGATTTTAGAGGATGATAAATGTCTGTTACAGGAAGAATTAGAAAACGTACAAGAAAGTTCTTACAAAGTCAAGAATGAGAGAGAATTTCTTGAGACAGAATTGCTTAATCATGTTAAAAAAGTTGATAATCTTACTGATAGCATGAAATCAGCACAGGTACAGAATAACTTGCTGTTACAGCAGCTGGAAGAATTAAAGGCAGAAAAATGTAATATGGTTAAAGAAAAAGAGCAGCAGCAGTTACACCTTGTAAAAATGTTTGAGGAGAAGGTGAAAAGTGCTCAGAGGGGTAATAATGGAAGTAAAAACAAAACAAAAGAATTGCAAGAACTCTTAAAGGAGAAACAGCAGGAGATCAACCATTTGCAAAAGGATTCTATAAAGTTCCAGGAGATGATCCTAGATTTGGAAAGATCCGTGAAACTGTCACAGTCAAAAAGTGAAAAATTTGAAAAGGATTTAAGGAATACGTCAGAAAAGCTTGCAAAGTCCTATGAAGAAGTACAGCATCTCAAGGCAAAGCTTTCTTCACAGATGGACTTGTTGGATCAGTCGAAGAATGAAGTGGAGAGGCTTACAGATGAGAATCTAAATTGGAGAAAAAAGCTTCAGAAGAAAGAAGATGAATTAGAAATTCAAAAGAAAGAATATGAGAGAGAATTGGAAATAAATCTTCAACAGCTAAAATCAGTTCACAAAAGAGAATTTTTGAACCTAGAGGAAAGACATGGTGCCCTTGAGAGAGAAAGAGATAGGGCAGTTAGTGAGATTCATGGTTTGCAAAAAGAAATGAGCATGAAGGACTCTCAAAACAAGAAGCTTCAAGCAGATTTGAATGCAGCTTTGGCACAATTAGCTGCTTTTACCAAGTGTATGTCCTCTCTTCAGGATGACCGGGACAGGGTCATCACTGAAATGAAAACCTGGGAAATGCAGTTCAAAGAGACCATCCAAAATAAAGAGAGACAGATAGAAAATAGTAGTAAGAGAATCATGTCTTTACAAGAGGAACTGAAAGACAAAATAAGTCAGATTCAAGAATTGAATATCAAATATTCTGTGGCAGAAGAAGCAAAAAATGAACTGTACTCAAGGCAGAAATCTGCTGATACACAAAACTATGAGGAGATCTGCAGAATAAAGGAAGAAAATGCATTTTTTTTTAACAGGCAGCAAGAATTGGAGAGTGTTCTTCAGTCAAAAGAAGCAGCTTTGCAGGCCCTCCTTAAAGAAAATAATTCTCTTAAACATCTCCTAGAGAACCGTAAAAGTGCAGGAAGGGAGATAAAAGCTCTGGAAAGTCATTTTACAAGGCAGGAGCAAGAATTGCAAGAGCTTCTAGCTGAGAAGGAAAAAATGAATGCTGAATTGCAAAAGCAGATTACCATTTCTGAGCAAATGAAGATCATGTTAAATAATAAAGACAAGGAAATTTCCTTACTGATTTCTTCAAAAGGTGATGAAATTTCTGGCTATCTGAGTCAGGTACAGACTCAACACAGAGACCAAATCAAAGAGTATGAACTTCAGTTAAGGTCTTTGCAGCTGGAGAGACAACAGTCTGAGGAGTCCTGTCAGAGGATGAGGGATGAGTTGAGGAACCTCCAGATGAAAGCAGATAAAGCAGTTCAAGATAAGGCTGCAATAGCCAGTGAAATAGATGCCTTTAAAAAATCCATGTCCTCTCTTCAGAATGATCGGGATGATCTGTTTTCTAAATACAAAGAGCTGGAACATCTCCACCAAGATGTCTTAAATCAACGGGACAGTCTTCTGGTTGGCAATGCAAGTGAGAACAGTGCTTTGAAACAAGAACTAAGGATCCTTCTCAATCAAAGAGATGATCTTCATTCTGAAAATGCATTGCTAAGTGCCCAACTGATAAAGTACAGGGAAGATCTTAACCAAGTTTTGTCTCTGAAAGACCATCAGCTGAAAGACTTACTGAAGCAGAAATTGGACTGTATTAAAAGCCTTGAACAAGAAAAATATGATCTTCAAAAGCAAATAAAAGAAATGCAACTTTCTAGTGAGCTGCAGAAGGATGCTGCTGTATCTTTGGAACGGGAAAATAAAAAATTGGTGTCTAAAGTAAATGATTTAGAAGCTTTAATTGCATCATTAAACAAAGAGAAACTTGCTTCTGAATCTGGAGAGAAACTGCTAATTGATGGTGGTGTCCCTAAAAAAGAGTGTGTATTCAATGGACAATATGAAGCAAATCTTCAGAAGAAGGTTCAAGAACTCCAGAAATCAAAAGGCAAAAATACTCAGGGTACAGATGAGGAACACAGTAAGACTCTTTTGACACTGCAACATGGAGATGAACCTGGTGTTTTTGCAGAGAAGATGATGTTAGAGATTCAATCTCAAAATACTGAGCTGAGGTCCCAAAATGAGGCCTTTGGGAAAGCAATGACTGCTCTGCAAAATGATAGGGATAGAATAATAGAGGACTTAAAGGTACTTCAGAGCAAATACACATCTGAACTCCAGGCTGAAAAAAAGAAGGGAGATGAACTTGAAGCTGCATTGAATGGCTTTAAATTACATCTGAGCAGCATGTTTAAAGAAAATCCTCTTCTGAATTGGGCTGGTTTTGATGCTGCAGATAAGATTACACTTGATCAGATTGCTGATGCAGTTGGAACTCTCTGTAGGACCGTAGTCAGTCGTGAGCTGGAGATGAGCAGGCTCTCATCTGAATGTGGGAATTATGTTCACCAGATTGAAGCATTTTCCAAGGCTATGGCCAGCCTTCAGGATGACAGAGACAAATTGCTGCAGGAGCTCAGCAATCAGAAGGTAAAATCTGAAACCAAACAGGGCCCAGCTTCATTTCCCATGGGTTGCAACAGCATCATTGAGATAGGGTCTTTTAAAAGTAATTTGGATACACCTCAGATTGATAGGGAAAGATTGGTAAGTTTAAATTAGCTGCATCATTTTTATTTTTTTTTTTTGTGCAGAGAATGCTTAGAGACATTGTGGATTTTGAGGTTGAACTTTGTAGATTCTGTGAGTGTGAAGAGAACATTGTGTGGCAAGACAAAGCATGCTTAGGATTTTGGGAGTTGAGGTCATTATCCTGTTAAACAGGAGCAAATGGGGAAAAATATTATTCTGTAATTAGAACTCTAGCACTAATGGAATTTCTACGATATAGTTTTCATTCCAGTTCACTAATCATGTTTATTAAATGTAGGCTAAAGAAGGAGCCAGCCTTGCAGCTGTTGAAATAGCAAAACTGAAGACAAAGGTTGATGATCTGGAGAGGGCATTGCAGCAGACAAAAGCCTTCCAAGCAGAAACTGAGAGAGAGATTGCATCTTACCAGAATGAGCTGGCTGGATTAAGGTATGAATGTTAAAACTAACAAATAATACCTGTGGCTCTTGTTTGGAATTCTTCAGTGACTTCACAGCCTGGCATTAAGCTGATACAAAACCAAAATTATGTGTAGTTTAGGAGGAAGTAGGGTAAGAGTATTTCTGCAATGTGCAAAAACAACTTCCACTGAGTTGTCTTTGTTCCATGTTTCTTTATGTAATGGTCTCCTTGTTCATGCAAAGTTTCAGTCTGAAGTGAATATTTTCTGTTCCTTTGGTGACTTGGATGTATGGAACTACAGTCTAAGTGTCTTTTTTCAGTGCTTGATACCATGTTCTCTTCTTAGAATAACAACTGATATGGTTAAACATTTCCCCCCCATATCTGTTGTTTGTTTTGGTTTTTTTTCAGATGTTTGAGGTGTTGCATATTGGGCCCAATTACATATTGAAAATTTAATTAATTTCCCATTGGACTATTATATTTGCATATTCAAGAGTCTACTTCAGCACTGTTAACACCTTGCATCATCTGTGACAAATGAATAATGAGACACCCTGGGCCTAATCCTGGGAATGCTGCATGAGATCTGTTTCAAAGAAGGCAGTGGGCATTTTTAAGTGGCAGTGGAAAGACAGTTGAGGCCAGGAGGCAGGATCCTACTGCCTTTACTGTGTTTTATTGCCTGTACTGCAATTTCTAGATCTCTAATTTAAGTCTGCATGATAATAACTTCTATACTAGAAGGTTTTATGGGAGGGGATGTAGACCAAAAGGTCAACCCCACATTTATCTTTGCAAATTTAAGCAAGCAAATTTCATGCAATTTAGCATGAAATAGTCAAACCTCATTCTAATTTGTAGACTTCACCAGGGAGCAGCATGAATTGTCTTTTTCCATTTTTCCCCTCCACTTAAAAACTATATATGGCATTGAATTCTAAAGGATTCAAGTTACTTTTCTGCCCTTTGTGATCCTGCTTGTGTATGCCAGTAATTTCTGGGGATATGGTTTGTTTGGTTATTTCAGTCTTCTAAGTTGAGGATATTTATTTTCAAACTGGTGTACTTGCAGCAGGGTACTTGTGCTATTGCTCTGCACAACTGCAACCTTATATTTTAGGCAGCTGAAATATTTGTTATGTTAACAAATGTTAGCCAATTAAGCCAATGTGATGTTAATTGATGTTAGATGTTTTTAAATGGAATATGTATCGGAATATTGTTCATATAATGCTGTGTATTTCCATATAACTGTTCTTGAAAGACCATTATTTATTTCAGAAATAAGAGTGAGGACAGCTTTATCCTTTTCATTGACTTGTGTGCAGTATATTATCATTTAATGTCTGGTCTACTATTTTCTCTTCAGAATGGAAAAGTCCCTCCTCCTCTCAGAGACCCAGGCCCTGCGAAATCAGTGTCAAACCACAGTTGCTGAGAAGGAGCAACAGATTGCAGAGCTACAGAAGCTGCAACAAGACATGATTGTGAAGAAATCAGTCTCCTCTGACAGCAATTACCCAGTCAAGGTAAACAAATGGAATGTAGCAGGAGGCACAAAACTAGTTGTACCAGTTTATTGTTTTGAATTTGAAGCCTGGTTCCCAAATGAGAACTATACAACACATGGTAGTGAAGTATAGAAGGCTGGTGAGTTACAGCTGTAGGTCAGTGTTGGTGGCATCAAATCAGCAAGTGGCAACCATTCCAAGCAAAGGAGCTGAAATTATTATTGGGGGAACAGATAGACAAAGTGACTTGTATGTGTCTTATTTTTAGGAAACTAGTCTAAAACAAATAAGTTGTTTGCATGTTGAAGACAGGCACAGAAGACAGTTATTGAGTGTAAGTCATCTGCAGTACACATCAGCTTCACAGAAGTATTACATTGCAATGCATAAAGAGGTTTCAAATGAGGGAAGTAGAAAACATGATAGAGAAAAACTTGTAAGAGGAAAATTAAAAAAATATAGGGATTTTTTATATTAAGAAGAAAGGAGAAAGAAAAAGCCCAACCTAATAGTGCTGTGGGATGTAAGTGAAATGAGAAGCACACTCTCACTTTTTGTAAACCCAGAACAGGAGACATTTGGTCACAAATACAAAACTAGTAAAGGGATGTGGTCTTTGAGATAATATGAATATTTTTTCAGATGTAGCTGCAGCCTGTCTTCAGGGACACATTTTTTTTTAAGAGGATGAAAAAAGAACTTGGTCGTTTACATGGACAATAGTTTTCAGAATTTGTGTACTTCATGCTAGCGTATTTTAAAGGCCCAATAAAGTTCATTCTTGAGAGCCTAAATCAATCTCTAATTGCTGCAGATAAAAATAGGACCTAATTGGGGGGAGAAGGGAGAGATGTGCCTAATGGCAGTATTCTTGCCCTTCCCCTGAAGCAGCTGGGGTTGGCTTCTGCCAGGAACAAAATACTAGATTTAGAAAGGCAACAGCTGAGACCCAGTCTGGCAATTGCTCTCTACTGTTGTAGACTATTATTAAAGGATCAAGGAAAGTGTTATTTTAGAGTAATACTCTTCTTTGCCTTTTCTGTGCCAAAGGAAGTAAACCATATTCCTTTTCCATTTCACTAAAAGCAGTGTTTTAGTTGGGCAAATTTGTCTCAGATGCTGTTCATTTTCTGTGATTAAAATCACAAGGAAAAGGTAACAGTCATATTTTTTGAGTTCTGAAATATTTCATGTGGTAGAAGTCTTTATTTCATGATTTTAATAGGAAAATAGGTTGCATAACAGCTTAGGGATGGCATATTTTATATTCACCTGGCTTTCAGGATTTTTTCCTTTATTTGTGTGCTTCACATACATTTGTGAATTTCACACACTTTCAGGAATTATTTTCAAAATTCATTGCAATTTTTTATTGTGTTCTTTTAGTTGAAATATTTAGGTTGAAAATGCTTAAGTAGCTTTTTACAAATAAAGACTCCTGCAAATGTGTCGTTCACTTGTGAGAAGGAATGGATCTTGTGAGAAGGAAATTATTGCTGGTCCAGGTGGATATTTAGTGTTGGAATGTTTATTGTTTGGAAAACTTCCTGTACCATTTACCCCCTTGACTAATATTTTTGAAGGTTTTAGAGACTGCCTGCCTTGCTGGCAGTGCAGAGACACCAGAGGAAATCAGACTTGCCTTAGCTGAGAAGAACCAGCTTCAGAGGGAGCTGCAGCGCTGCCTTCAGGAGATGCAGCAGAAGGATCTCCACTTTCAGCAGGTTAATTCAAAGGTAACTTTGAATCTGGCTGGTGTCAACACAGGAATTTTGCTAAATTGTTGGTTAGTTTAAGACTTAAATTCTTCAAAACAACCCTGTTGGCTCAGACTAGAAATTGCCAATGAGATGTCAGTATTTTTCTGTCAGGCTTTCCTGACTTGTTATTTGCCTGAGAAGGGTTTATTGGAATCTGCATTTTGAGCAGATTAATGAGGTGCTGCTGAACTTCTATTCAATGTAAAATATTTTTCATCATAGGCAGGAACAGGGAACCAGAACTTAGCTATCTCATCCCAAATTTTAAATACCTCAAAAATACTTCTTTACACACTCTTATGAACACTTTTGTGGCTGTTACGAGGGTAAGATTGTATGTGTGTCCACTTGAACACATGTGTTTGTGTTAATTTCGTTTGCAAAACTTTGTAAGTATTCTTGGAGACTCCCATAATATTTGCCTCTCTTGTGTGGCCTGTTTTTGGAAGCAGATTAGGTTTATGTTACTTTTCATCTCTGCTTGTGTCTATTTTCATTCCTTCACCCAAACATTTTGTAAATCTAGTAACAGTTTTAACCAAACTTTGAAATGGGTGCAAAAATCTCAGTCTCTTGAAGATGAGTGTTTGGGTAAAGAAGTGGAGACCCTAATTATGCTTTTTGAGAAGTTGAACTGCTGAGCATTCCTGGACGTTTGGGTTAAAAATCCTGAGTTTCTGGTTTGGGCATATTAATGACTGGTAAAATCAATAATCAGGTTGAATTATGAACTGTGAGCTTGCCAAAAAGTTTATGCAGTTTGGAAACTAGTTCAATGGCAGGTCTCAAATCTGTAGTGGTTTCCCAAAGGAGATAATTCCCAAATTTTATTTAAATGTTAATTTATTTCAGGTTGTCCAGTCAGCAGAAGAGAATGCTGTCCTGTCTGCCCAGCTGAAGGCTCTTTCACAGACCCTGAGGGATAACCAGCTTCGTTACACTGACTTGCAGAATCGTTATTTAAGACTGGAGAGGGAATATCAGACAATCCAAGTGTCATCATTCCAAGGCCTTGTTCAGGTAAATAAATAGAAATGCTGTTGGTTGTTTTTTTTTCCCTTCTCTGCTTACACTTTTCTGGTTTTCATGTTAAAACCAGAATAAATACTTTCTGTTGTACTGATCCAATACTTTTTCTAGCCCATGATGTGCTGAAGACAACTGTCTCTATTGTGGTAAAGCTGTTCTTATTTGACTTCTCATTTTGATTTGAAGTATCATATTTTTTTAATTATTCTACAGCTGGCAGAGGTAATTGGATGGTCACTAGTTGCTGGATCAGCAAAGTTTAATGATAATTTCACAGCAGGCATGAACCCTTTTGCAAGGTGTTTGAAGTAGTATTTTCAGGAGTGAGATTTTATCACCAGGTCAGCATTTCAGTCCCTTTTGCCACCCCCTCATACACATCTGTAACTTATTCCTTTGTGTTCTCTTCCTTTTCAAAACGTTTTCCTGTACTGCCTTGGTTATTAAGTAAAAAACAATTAATATAATACCCCAAAATATCATACAGATACATCTATACAACAATTCTTACTCTTCCATAAACAGAAATGAAACACAAACAAGGAGAACCATGAACTGAAAGACAATGAATACCTGCATTACTGATGAAGCTGCAGTCAGTGCTGTGTTACTGTGTGGATCTGTAGATGCATTTCTTGCACTTCAGACATTGTTCAGAGCTTGTGGGGTACATGTATCCTTCAAGTCCTGCAGCACACACAGGCAGTGTCCTCCAGCAGCTTTCTGTTATCAAACAGGTTTGGAAAATTACAGCTCTGGAAATGAAAAGATTAAATGGCACAGAGAGCTGTTTGTTGCACAGCTTTGTGATGCTTGTGGCTTTTTACATTGAAATAAGTTCGTTAATTGAAGATTTTTAGCAACTAGAAAAATGATGAGTGGCTCTTTGTTTTCCCCTTCTAATATTTTCTAGGATGAAACTAGAGCAGAAGTTCCCCCTGGAGCACCACAGGAAAGATCTGCTGTCATTGTTGAAATAGACAATATGGAGCTGAATGATCTCAGAAAAAGGTCAGGTCTGAGAGCATAAATTAGCAATATTGTTTTCCTGACAGCTGTGTTGTAAGTGCTAAAGTAATCCTTTTCTACCCCTCTAAGGAATTTTGGGGGGGGGGAAGGAAAGAAGTAAATTTACAGCAGATTAAAAGAACCACAGTTATAGTCTTGATTTGTTATTATCTGGTAATATTTGTGGGGTTTTTTTTGTAAAGATACATATGTATTGGTGGTTTTACTTCAAGATATGATCTGAACCATCTCATTATAATTATTTTTTTATCACAAAAGAGAATATTTCATAATTAAGAAACCCAAGAATTTAATCCTGTAGGTATGTAAAATACTGATTTCAGATTTCGTTTTGTTACAGGCTTGCAGAGACTGAGCAACAATATGATTCAGTGCAGCAGGCTCTCTCACAACTGACAGAAACTCTGGCAGAAGAGAAGAGGAGGAGAGAAGCTGCTGAAGAGGCTCTTGGACTCTCTGAGGAGCAAAGTAACAGGTAAAATATGTAAAACATGAGGTATTTTTTTTCTTTTGAAATAAAAGTGTCTGTAAATCGTACTTCTTATGCTTTTGAAGTATGTGCCAGATTGCTGCATTAAATCTTCATGTGGGTAGGAAATAATTTGCATGTTCAGATAGGCAAAGTCATCTTTTGTTTCTGCTTCCCCTTGAAGAAAGGCATGGAGAGGTTTTCATTTACCAAGTGTACTGCAGAACTGGAAAATTTGCTCAGATATCTGAGCAAATAACAGAACAAATAGAAAAGCAAAGAATGGAACCTGATTGTAAGTCCAGAGTACCTGAAGCAATCACAATGTATGTGTAACTGTGTTCAAAGCTAGGTCTGACTCTAGGGATAAAGAAAGTGTTATGGACTTGGAGGTTTTTTTAATTTTAATTCCTTGCTTCAGATGTTGGACTTAGTAGCCAGTGGTATTTCTTTTTTTTTCCAAGTTAGAAAAAAAAAATATCTCACATGGAACAGCGTTAGTACAGCCACTCTTTAGGTTTAAGGTATCATTATCCATCTGCCTGCATAACGTGTCCATCACTACCATCATCTGCAAATCCACTGTTCCATCAGCTAGTGATGATGGGGCTTATTCTGAATAAATGAAACACCTTGAAAGTAGATTGTAAATAAGGACTGAAAAAGATCTGGCAATATAAACTAAGTCTCACTGCTGTTTGTGGGGACCTTCCCCCAGTAACCTAAGTATTCAAAATAATGTTTCTTACTTGAATTTGGTGCTTTAAAAGAGCAGATAATTCAGTACTCCCATTATCTCCCTTTTTTTCTAGATTTGAAGTAAGCAGTTACAGGTCTGTACCTAGTGAATACTCTGTTCAGGTGGAAACTGAGGAGGAAAGGGAAGCCTTAATCATCAATCCTAGTGAGCATGTTATTGTGCGAAAGGTGAGTAAATTAAATGCTCTTAAATCTTCTAAATTAGAAGCCACTTAAAAGTGGTGTTCATAGTGTATGTATCCTGCTCATTGAAGGCTGGATTGAAGATGGCACAACTCATTATCTCCTTCATGCTATTCCTTCCTTTTTCCCATCTTCCCTCTTTCAACTGTTACTCCTTTTTGAAGTGTAGATTTGCCTTCTGAGTGACTGGGAGTCACTGATTCTGAGTTGTCTTATTTATATGTGAACCCAGACATGAAGCAGCCACTTCTCTAATCTGCCTTGTCTCTGACAAGCTGACTCTGAACTATTCTTTGATTGTGTTGAGTATCCTGGGGGTGGGTGGGCCGTAGAGGCATCCATTCAAAGTGGCAAGCTACCATATTTTCCTAAAAAAAAAAAGTCCTTAGCTAATTAATTAATCGTTAATTTTTTTTTCTCTTGGGGTTATGGATGGTGAGTCAAATATGAACAGCTGTGTAAACTGTACCCTAGAACACATTGCTCACATTTTAATTTGGACATATGTGTTCATCTTTATATCAGATATGTGGCTATTACATCAAATTTAAAATTACATAAAATGTGTGTGCATGTAACTGTACATTTCCATCTCTACTATGCAGATACAATTGTCATGCACAAATATCTTCTGTCCATTCCTCTCCCCTTTTAGTAATGCTGTTTTCTTTGGCCTTTGTATCATTGATGCTCACAGCCTGTGCTGTGGCATCTGTTGCTGCATCAGAGGCAGAAGTTTTACAGTGCCTCAGAAGTCTAAGTTACATAGAATCATGGAATGCCAGGTTGGAAGAGACCTGAAGGAACATCTGGTCCAACCTTTCTAGGTACTACTATAGTTGATACGAGGTTGCTCAGCACCCTGTCAAGCTGAGACTTAAAACTGTCCAATGTGATGGAATCTGCTACTTCCCTTGGGAGACTTGCAATGTGTGACTGTCCTCATGGTGAAAAATTTACTTCTGTTGTCCAATTGTAATCTCCTCAGGAGCAACTTTTGTCCATCACCCCTTGTCTTTTCTACGTGACTCCTTGTAAACAGGGAGTCTCCATCTTCTTTGTATCCACCCTTGAAGTGCTGGAACATGGTCATAAGGTCTCCCCAAAGCCTTCTTTCCTCAGGGCTGAACAACCCCAGTTTTCTCAGCCTCTCCTTGCCATGGCAGGTCTACCAGTCCTCTGATCATCCTTGTGGCCCTTCTCTGGACTCTCTTCAGCCTGTCCCCATCCTTTCTGTAGAACAGGGACCCAAACTGAACAAAATACTCCAGGTATGGTCTGACAAGCGCTGAGTAGAGCGGGATGATGACTTCTTGATCTCTGCTGGTGATGCCCCTGGGTTACAGTGGAGTTTCTTCTAGTTTGTATTCATTATTATTTATTGGAGGGTTTTTTTGTTGTTTCTTAACCAGATGAAAGGAGGAGCCCTTTCTTTCAGAAGATGGCTTCGAGGGCGAAGTCTGTACTGTTCCAAGCTGCTGACCTCCAGAGCAAAATCCCGCTATTTATTCCTCACCTACCTGGTTACACTGCATCTTGTTGTTTTACTGTGCCTCAGTGGTGTTCTCTGAGTACACTACATTTTCTGGGTGAATGTTTTCCCTGTAGGTAATGGTGTGCCAAGTCAAGACAATAGACTTTTCACCTGCTGCTGCTAAGCTATGCACTGGACACAGTTGTAGATATTCTTGTTACACGACATGAATCTTACGCTTCTCAAAAGAAATTTGTGTCTATCACAGTTGCTCCAAAGTTGACTTGAATTGCTCTTTAACAGTGGAATATTATATTTGCTAAGGAGAAAATATTCCCCTCTGTTTGCCCTATAAGGAAGCTGCTGCATACAAGTTATTTAATATTGTTTGTGAGGACATAATGATCGATCACTACTGAATGGGTTGTAAATGATATCTTTTCTATATAAATTTTATTTTAAGAGTTAAAACTATACATTTTAAAGGAATATTCAGCTATTACTGTTTATTGACTTCTTGATTATAACAAGAAGTTTTATGGAGTGCAATAAAGGAAGAACTACTGGGGTTTTGATTTTTGTTGTTGTTGGGTTTTTGTTGTTGTTGTCTGAAAATAAAAGATTTAAGAAGGTTGTTGTTTGGCCATGCAGTTTGTAATGGCTCTGACAAGGAGCAGAGATATGTGTATGGTGAGGAGATAAGCTGGTGATTAAAGATTCAGAATTGAGATGACATGAAAAAATGTCTTCAACTTCTTACATTCCTTTGCTGTAGGTTAAAGGTGCAGTTTCTGTACCTTTTTCTGGTGGTGTAGTTTTTTGGTTGGTTTTGTGGTTTTTATTCTGTGTTGTTTTTTTAATTCATTTAGACTTCTTAGTGGGTTTAGTTACTACCTCTCTTGGGGGCAAAGTGTAACTTAGCTGCTCAACACATAAAATTCAAGCTTATAAAGACACAACACCACATTTTCACATATCGGAGCTGAGCAAAGGGTGTGTTTTCAACTAAGGAGGCTATAAGAAGCAGACAATTTGCATTCAGTTCCTGTAGACACATAATAGGCTGTTATGTGTTGCATATTAATATAACCATGTGTTAAAGTGTTCTCTGAAACTGCACAACTATTTTTGGTTCAAAAACCAGCTTTTTTGTGAAGACTGTGGCCACTGGGAGCTGGAAGATGTGTATGTGTTCTTTGTGTTTCCACTCACATCTGTATTAAATGGAGATATGATCAAAACAAGCTGAGTCTAAAGGAGTAGATACAGTCACAAAAAGGAACAGCCATTTGATTTCTGCTTGGCTAGAATAAAATCATAATCTTGTGGGAAGAGAAAAATCTGTGTGGAAATGGAAGGATTCTAACAGTTACACTGATGGGCAGGGACAAGGTGGAACAGATGTCAGAAAAGTGAATGATCTGCTAAAGGTCCAAGGATTCTTGTGTGTGACTCCTGCTGCACCATCATGTGACAGGTAAGGGTGGGATTGGTTGGTATTTATATTTGCAGAGTTAACATTCGCCAAACTGTATCAGATGTTCTGCATCACTTGTGTTTGTCACCTGGAATGGGAAATATTGCCAGCCGTGGTTATCACTGTGGGTAAATCCTGGACACTTCCTTCTTTTGAGGGTTCTTTTATATTTCTTAGTCTAGGAAGGCTCTGGGTTTCTATGGAATCCAATCTATAATTGATGCTTTGTTTTGTTTTTTTTTAAAATGGTAGTGGCTTATCTTTGACTGGCTGATTGCTGATTCAGTTCATGTTTTCAGCCATAGTGTCCTACAAGTCTGGAGGTAACTCAGCTGTTTTCGGTCTTTGTGCCGTGCAAATGGACACCAGGTACAGTTGAAACACGAGTGCTGTAGTGGTAAGACTTTTCCCTTTCCAACTTGAAAGTGGCTGTTAATGGAATGATAATGAGCTGTTCTTAGCTAATCGTGTTAGAAGGAAGCAGAATGCTTTCCAGTGACAACAGTGGGATCTACAAATCCAGTCTTACTCATTTGTCTTCAGGGGAGCAAACAACCCTCTGTCATGAGGCATAACAAGCTAGTGAGTGGGAAAAGATCCAGAGATGATAGAAATTCTGCCCTAATTTATACAGGCCCCTGTGCTGTCACTGGGAAAAGCACAAACTGGGGAAAAAAATAAATTCAAAAAATGGTTTGACACGTGTAGATATTCTGTGAACTCCCTTCCAGAAGCTGATACAAATGTAATGGAAAGTGAGATGATGTCATTTCCAAAGAGCATTTTACAAATTATCCCCATTCCCTAGGCAAGTATTGCCCTGATAGTTTTTCTTGTTTGAGTTGATTATTTTAATTCCTTCCTTCACTTGATCTGAGAACTTTGGGGATTTATGCATCTGCGGGACTTGGCTGCTGTTTGCCTCCAGCCTTGGAAGGACTTCCAAAGGGTTTCCTGGTGTTAGGTAATTCAAGTTTGACCACAGGGTTTCTGGGAAACATGCAGATGCTCCTCAGGGCTGGAAGGATCAGCAGAGTGCAGTGAAACCTTCTTGGTCCATCCAGAACCTGGAAGAACACTCAGTAGTGTTTGTTGTCTGAATATCAGGCTTTGGGCACATCCCAAAAAGGGGAGTTCTCTGTAATTTGTATTTAATTTTGCACTGGGAATTAGAAAAATAAAAACTGGAAGTAAAACATTAAAATAAAGCAAGTTTAGGAAATAGATTTAGGAACTTCATTTGGTGACAAGATTTCCAAATAGCTGCTTTGTGAAAATTATCTTTACAGCTTCAGTAGCTGTAAAGCATAACGTTACTCAATCAATGGAAATTTTAAGTAGTGCTCCTTGTAAATTAATTCACCTTGTAATTAATAATCATCAAAGCAAATTATTTTTTTTTTTTAATGGGAAATAAAACAATTTCACCCATTGATTTTGTTAGGAAATGTCAGTGGCTTCTCAGGAATCTAATCAATCTTGTGTAGAAGTGTAAACAATCAGTGCAAAGACTCCAAAGTGGATCAATTAATTTCTAACGTAAGTGTTCTTCAGCCATAAAATGTTGACTATAAAAGGAGGGTTTTAATGATATGAAGGTGTCATGAAAAAAACCCAACCAACCAACCAACCAACCAAATTGCTTGATTAATTAATACTTGCAGTATCAAGACAAAGAAAAAAATAGGCAGAACATTTTAAATGTGAGAAACCAAATGAATAATGGTGAGAAGTTTCTTTTCTTGCTCCATCAAGCAACAATATGGCCCAATAAGCTTTGAGAAAAGCCCTCTAGCACATCACTTTGCCAACTCAAAGAGGACTGTAGCTTTCCTTGACCTTGGAAAAGGTCTTTCTGCTTAATTAGTCTCCCTTATAAACCGAAGATGCAGATTTTTGTTAATTTTATTAATATCTGAGTCAGATTTTAATTTTATGGGCTGTAAAAACCCTTCCCTGAAGTTCTGTGTGTTGTTTTGCTGAGATAAATAAGCTTGGTTTGACAGGCATAAAATACTGAGCATTTTAAGGAATAGATTTTGAACACCTCCAGGAACTGTTAAGTATCAATGGTTGAAAACACATTCATTCTTTAATGTCTCAAATTGTTAATTTGCTTTTATTGGTAATTGGAGCTGGCATGTGATTTCACACAGTTAAGCAGATCAGCAGGTGTATTATTGAATCCATGGAATTAAAATGTATCTGTGAGAAAAATACTTTTTTATGCTAGTTGATGAATAATATTTTACCTCATATATTGTTAGATTATTTGGGGCAATCATGGTAGGAGATGTTAGAGCAGGTGGTTACCAATACATTCACTTTTTAGTTTGTTGCATATTATGGTGGTATGACTTGATCAGTAACAGGTACAGTATTTTACATGAAGTTTTAACTTAAAAAATATATTCTGTCTCTATTTTGGATGATATCCTGCACTAATATTAGAATAATATAGTTTGCAGGGTATTGTGGTTGGAATGGGGCAAAAAGGCAGCGATGTTGCAGGGGATGAAGCCCAAAGTAAAAGAGGGATCTTGACACTGAAGTATTCCATGGAGCCTGGAATCATCACTAACTGGGATGACAAGGAAAAGGTGGATGTTTATTTTTTATGTCATTTTATTGAGGTGCCATAAAATCATTAAGGTTAGAAAAGACCTTCAAGGTCGTCAAGTCCAACCATCAGCACCCCCATCTTATCCAAGATGCACAATTTGCCATTAACCTTTTTGCAAACCAGAGGGAAAATCCTGGAAGAATTTGTAATCAGTTCAGGGAAAGGGATAAGACAGTGTGTTAGTACAGGAGCTGGTCAGACACTTCTGCAGTTACTGTTCTTTTAAAAAGTAAATGCTTATTACTCATCAGGTTTGGCATTGTTTTATGAGTATTTGATGCTTGATTCGTACTGTTCTCAGCCTTGGAAGTTCATACTGAGGCAGAACATTTGACAGTGATGGAAAGTAGCTAAAGTAAAAAAAAACACAACACAATGACAGGTTGTGATTCTTCAGAGATTAATCAGAGAAATATTAAAGACACATTACAGAGATTGGGAACAAAACCTGAGAGGTAGAGGGGTGATTTTCCCTCTGCAGTACTTCCTTACATGAACAGGCTGGTTGGTGATGCCCACATCTCGTATTGCTTAGGACATTCTCACCATCAATGAAAGAGAAAAAGACAGATTGGGGCTTGTCTCCCCATACTAATTCTTTGAGAGGGGGATTTTTTTTTTTTATTTTTTTTTCTTGCAGCCTGTTTTTCTGTTGCCAACTCCAGTTACCTTTTCCTGTCTGGATGGTGAGAAGGTGTCTTTATTCCCCATCAAGTCCAACCTGCATGGCATGCAGCCAGTGAATGACTTCTCTGTGAAGTGTCCACTTCAGGTGCAGGAGGAGTCTTAATGGGACTCATACTCCAATATCCTGTATATCCTGGTCTCTTTAGGAAGCATCTGAGTCTGTATGTGGAAATACTGTACCTTGTCTTTAGAGACAGGATTGCAGTTCAGTTCTTTGTCATCTCCTGGTGGGATGGGATGGGGAGGAAACTCCAGAAGCAAATGCTTCTAATAATGTTTTTCTGTGGAAAATGCTACTGAAAGGAAGACATGGAGCTGGTGCTGTTCTGTGCTCACACTTGCTGAGATGAGGGGTAGACAATTACAATAGGTTCATCTAAAGGCAAATTGCTCAGTGCTGAGTGTTCCAGATGAGCAGACCAAGTCCATACAGGAGCAACAGGAGTTACTCAGTTCATGTTTGGAAATAAATTGCCCACCTACTCCTCTAGATGGAAGCACAGCATTTGCATTTCATTATTCACTGCTTCCTGGGAGGATACCTTGCTTATTTCTGCAGACCAGAAAGTCTACCCTGATACCTTGTTCCTGACATCCTGATATCATCCTGATATCATCCTGATATCTTGTTCCTCCTGAGAATTGTCCTGCTGTCTGCCTTCAGCAAGAAATTATATATTCCTGTAGGAAAAATAAGAGAAAATAAAATCAGAGGTCACTGTTTAATCTTCTTCCCTCAGTGCTTGGTCTCTGTATTTGGAAATTGTCCTGTGGGTAACACATCCTGCCTTCTCTGTCTGGGAAATGCTGAATGCTAGAGCAGACTATCTAAAATCTAGTTGGGAAAAAGAATTAGAGAAGGTAAAAAAGGTGGCATGTGCTTTCCTGCAGTGTGACCTCACAGCTAGATTGATTTGGTTTAGGGTGTAATGTGGTGGAAGCTTCAGGCAGTGCCCTAATTCAGATAATGGTCAGATATTTTAAGTCTGAACTTTTCTTTGTCACTGAAATGGATGAAGGAATTACTTGTGAAGGGAGTTCTCCAGCCCCAAAAGCCCTTCTTCAGGCAAGGTGCAGCAGCCCCAATGCTGAGCTGTGCTGGGACTTCTTGCTGAGCCCAGGAGCAGTGGGACAGAAAGCAGAGACTGCCCTCAAGTGAATGAGCCCTGAGCATCAGATAGAAAAAAGCAACATGAGAGCAATGCAGTGGTAGGCAAGAGACAGGCAACAGCATTGCTAACTTCTGGGATTCTTGCAAATAAGAAGAAGAAAAAAAAAAGCTTTTAAAAAATGTTATTAATGTGTGGGCTTCCGATTCAATTATAGATCTCAGCTTGCCCTGCAGCTCCTTGACACACACCTGTGCACACACACCTCTGGCTGAGGGGAGTTCTGAAAGGCAATTCCTAAAGTTTGATGCTAAGGGAATATATTTTAATCTACATCTATAGTTCTTGCCTCCCAAGATTTTTAAACCTGTTGCATGGTTTTGATCCAAACCACAAACTCCTTTCCAGTGCGTGGAAGTGGGATTGCTAAAGGCATCATGATGGAGAAGGAACAAAAGACTTAGAATCATAGCATTAAGAATGACTGGGTAATATGCCAAAAATGGGACAAAAGCACAACAGTGCAGTGCCCAACTGTTCCCACAAAGAGAGGGTTCACCAAAAGATGAGGCAGAGGGTGCATGTGTGTGAGGGGAAGCCAGAGCCTGGATGTTGTGGGACGCGCAGACATTCGTGTGAATCGGGTGGAGAACGTGTGGGGGATGAAACGAAGCTTTCTTCTTCTCCCCTGCTTCAGTTCACAATATTCAAATTGGGACTGTGCTGGTTTCTGCTGGATAATAATACATGGCATTGTACATCACTGTTAATTTGTTCACAGTGACTGAGCTGAACGTATGGGAGTGAAAGGGCTGGAATGGATAGAGCGTTTTCTAGCTCCGGTGACTGCCTAAATGTTTAATATAAGTGTTTGAGTAATTGTTCCTCAGTGATGTCTCTTTGCTGTTGTGCTTGCTGCTTACATTTAGTTCTCATGACCTATAAAATCCAACACTGAACTATTTTTGTTTCGTGTAGAACATAATCCATTAACATTGTGGTTGTTATTAGGCCAAATCTAATGGGCTGTGCTGTGCCTAATTCTGCTTGTTATCTATATATTTATACTTCTACATGATGACTTTATGTTTTCTTCAACTTCTCTTTGTATTTGTATCCTAAGCCTTCAAATGGAAGATGGCCCAGCATCCCAACAGGCCACAGTTAAGGAAACATCTGATAATTTTCTTTAGGGAACTGAGATGCAATTGAATTTTTTTTTAGGGCTAATAATTTTCTTAATGAAGAATTCCAAGTCTGGACAGCTGTTGACTTTGTAGATGCTTGAAATTTAGGGAAGATCTTTTCTTCCACTGAAGTTCATTTTGGAGCATAATCATACTTGGTTCTAGGTTATGAATCAAATAAACTTATTAATAAAACTAACCTGATGTTTTGTGCTGGTTGGGACGGGCAAGGCTGGAATTGGATTTAAAATAGGAATAAATCAATAAATAATGAAATAAGGGCAGGAAAGAAGATAAGAAATATTTCATTGAGTTACTGTGAACAGTCTGTCTTAGCTGGCATCAAGAAAAAAAAATCCCATCAGTTCCTTCCAGCCAGAGGCCTCAGACAATCAAAGCCAGCATCTTTGGACACAGGTTGCACCATCCAACGTAAAAAAATAGTACAGTACTTTGCAGACTGTGACTAAGAAATGTAGTTACTCTGTAGTGAAATGAGAGTTAGATTCAGGATTAATTGGATAAAATATCTGTGGCATAAAGGGCCTTTTACTTCTGTGGAAAAAAATAGATTTCTTAAGAGCATCTTGGCAAGGAGTTGCAACTGGGTCAGTCTCCAAGCAGCTTGAAGTGGAGAAGTCTTTCCAGGTCCAGCAGCTCAGTGCTTGGCTCAGTTCTGTTTTGGAGCATAGGAAGTGGTAACTAGGTGGTGCCTCAGCTTAGAGAGGATGATCTGTTTGGGCAATCCCAACTGGAAGGACTCTGTTGTGTAGGTTATGTTCTATTGTTACCTACAGTGGAAACCTGATGGGTTTGATTCTAAAATAGAGCTCCGTTTAGCAGATTCACTCTTGGATGCCTTCTCTCTATTTTAATATGTCTGTAATAAACCAAGTCACTCAGACTGTATTTGAAAAGCTTTCTGTGTAGCTCTGTGGACAGAAGAAAGGAATTTCAGGACACTTTTTAAAAGCAATTTTTATTTCTAGATTTGGCATCATTCTTTCTACAACGAGCTCTGGGTTGTGCTGGAGGAACACCCTGTCCTGCTGACCAAGGTCCCCTTGAATCCCAAAGTCATCCATGGAAAAATGACCCAGGTAATTGTTTGAATGTTCTGCCATGGGTCATTTCTGCACAGCAGCAGCTAAATATCTAAAATAGTCCTGGATTTTCAATTTTGTTCTTAATCTGGGAGGTGATCCCCTGGGGTTAGTTCAGGTTACCATGCTGGCTTGGCCATGGTGAGACAGCAAAAGTTTCTGCTGCTCAGGCAAGCCCTCTGCATGACCCAAAGATGTTTTGTGCTTGTGTGTGGCAGTGAGATTGAAGGAACAAGTCTCTTAAAAGCATGAAGTGATTTTGTACCAGAATTGAGTTATTTTAGAAGATTTGAATAAAGATGTTTGAAGGCCACAACCCAGATGACTTTGTGGAGCTCCCAACTGGAGCAACTCTGCGGAGATCAGGGGAAAAGTGTTTGAAAAATAGGGATGTTTGTGCTGGCTTGGGAAGAGGAGTTGTCTGAAGCACTCAAACTGAAATGATGCTTTGCTAAAAACATTTCTGTGTGTGACACCCACACCCAGTCTGATTCAGCAAACTCAGATCAGAACGACAAGTCAGCCTCTGAAGTTTGTATGTTTTAGAGCAGCCTTCTGGCCAAAAAGCCACTGAGGTAACCAGAAAGAAGTGTGATTTAAATACAGATATAGGTATAAAATCTCCTGGGAAAATTAGATGTGGCTCTGCACTTCCTATTGGGCCCACTTTTGGCATATATTTGATAGGAAGATTATGCATCAATTTAGCAACAGTGTAAATAAAGTAATTAAGTAGTGAGCTTGACAGCACACATTGCTGGGAGATAATACAGCTGGGAGATAATAAGCATCAACAGATGATAAGAAAAACCTCATTTATAAGAACCAGGAAGTGGGGTTCATACAGTAGACATGTCTAGGACTGTTCCTCTGTCATTATACTGTAATGCTCAAACCTGTTTTCAAGATTGTTTAAAGGCTTGTTGTTTATTACTGATTCTATTAAATTCATTATGTTCATTAACTAGGAAATATTGGTGATTTGTGTGTTCTTTAACTGAAAGCATAATTTTCATTAAAAGTAGACTTCATTGGCAAAGCTCATGAAATCTGAAATTTGAGTTTAACTTCTTGAGGAAATGGCCTCAAGTTGCACCAGAGGAGTTTCAGGCTGGATATTAGGAAAAATTTATTCATGGAAAAGGTTTGTCAAGCACTGGCATAGGCTGCCCAGGGAAGTGTTGGAGTCACTGGATGTGTTTAAAGGATGAGTAGATGTGGTGCTGAGGGATATGGTTTATCAGTGAGCTGGGCAGTGTTAAGTTAATGGTTGGACTTGATCTTCAAGGTCTTTTCTAACCTAAATGATTCTGTGTCAGAGGTTGTGAAGGGTGCAGTCATGATGGTGGAGTCACCATCTCTGGAGGTATTTAAAAGACGTGTAGATGTAGCACTGAGGGACCTGCTTTAGTGGTGGATTTGGCAGTGTTAGGCTTATGGTTGGACTCGATGATCTTAAAGGTCTTTTCCAGCCTAAATGATTCCATGATTTATGCAATGTGGTCACAGCAGCATCCCTGGTGGTGCGGTGGCAGTGCCTGGGGTGGGTGGCATTGGTTGAGGGATGGATACAGTGCTTAGGGTTGTCCAGAGCGTGTTGGTTCACTGATTTTCCTCACCAGAGCTCCAGGGGAAGTCCAGCTCTTTTGGGTGTGATGTCCAAGAGCATAAAGCTAGGTAGTCAGATCTCTGGCACTGAGTTGGATTTGCAGTCCTCTGTAGTATCAAAGCAAAATTCTATTCAATTTGCTAATAATCTACTTGCCTGTGTTTCAATATTCAGAAATAAAGGGTCTTCTTTAGGCTTTGATTTTTTAAAATGTATCCTTTTAGAATATACTTGTTAATGAGGAAATAAGAGGAAATAGTTTAAAAGTGTGTGTTTTAAGTGGCAAGGGAGGGACGTGTTTACAACATTTGCATATCACTGAAAGAGTTCCTTGGGCTTTCCTTTTTCCCCTCCCTTACCCAGGTCTCCTTCTCTCATTCTGCACAACAAAGTTCTCTTTGGTCCTTGGCTGGCACCTCTAGCTCCTGGCACAGCTGGGGCTGAGATGTGAGCTCTCAGTGGATAGAATATGAATCCTCATCCTGCAGCTGACTCCTTTTGCAGTGTGGAAGGGCATGATTACACTTTGAATACCTCCCTAACAGTCTGCATGTGGAATCTTATTCAAAATTAACATGCATTTTGAAGATAGAATTAATTATGTGCTAAGAGCAAATACAGATAAAAATAAATAGAACTATTGAGCTGCTTTGTGTGATTTGGCAAATCTTTTCTGGCTTCTCTGAGGGGAAATTGCCTTTGCCACCATGCAAGCCCTGCTTTTCTAGAGGTGGTTGGACAGAACACTGTTGTGGTTGGAACTGAGGACAGGGGATACCTCCTTCCTTTCTCCAAGAAATGTATATCTTTACATTGAAGACTCTTTCATAGCTTTAATCTGTTTCCACTTTTCCTCGTCCAATAGTTGGTTTATGCTTCTGACCAGCTTCTCTTTCAAATCAAGAATGCTGTTGCTTTTTTGTAATTTTTCCCCTGTGGAGCATCTCCCTGTAAACATCTTCACAACTTCAGTCCTTCTAAATGCTTCTATAAGACTTTACAAGGCCCCGATGCCTCCGAATCCTAACCTGAATTAGAAGCTCAGATGGTGCTCCATCAAAAGTTGCCCTGCCTTTTGCCACTCCAGTATTCTCTCTTTTCTTAGACTAACAAGCCTGCATGAACAGGAAGCAGTTTTGGGGGGTTGTCTTTGTACAGCACCTTTTCTAATCAGGTTTTTGGCCTCAGCTGGGCAGCAGAGTCATAGTGTGCTTCTGGGCTGTCATCTCTGTGCTCCTTAACCTTGTTGAAGTGCCCTGATTCTTTTACTTGCTCAATTTCTTGAACTTGCAATAGCATCAAATAGCTCTGAGGGTGTGAAGCATTGCTTGAATACAGTTCTTAAAGCGAAGGGTGCTCTCAAGTAATTATAAAAGTATTTTTCAGGCTGGTGTTTTCCTTGGACTGATGTTGTACTAGATCTAGACAGTGTCCTTGTATAGCTCAGGAGTCTCCTCTCAGAACCCTGCTGCTTTCAGGACTTGCTGTTCAAGAAGCTGTCTCCTATATACTTTTAACATTTTCCAACTTTTTCTGAACTTCACAATTGCTTCTTTGTTATTTGCTAATAGCTGTATAATAATGAGCTTTCACTTTAACATTCTCAAAATTGCTTTCCTGGAAACACGTTAAATAATGTGTCACTTCAAAGCAACCCCTACTCCCTTTAACAAAGAAAACATTGTCACCATCACTTCAATGTTTTTTCTTCTAAAGGAAGAAAGTCTATCCAAAGACTAAGCAGATTTTCCTCCTCACACATTTTTCCAAGGAGAAATAATCTTCTTTTTCATCAGGATAACCTGTAAGAGAGAATATTCATTCATGTGAAGGTTACAGACTTCCATGCATAAAACCTAGCATAGCTGCAGTTGCTTCTGTGGGTGTAATTTATTAAATCCAGGGAATATTTGACATCTAACTCTCAAATGTGAATCCTGTGCTGCAAGTCACTTTTGAGACTTCAGTCTCCTCTAACACTGCCTTTCAGTTCTGCATTTCACATTTCCAGTGCTTTCCTGTTAAATTATAAGGGGTCCAAGGTGAAACACTTGTCATCAGTTGTGTCAGAACTTGATGGGCACTCAAAAAATACAAGCAGCATTTTAAAGTTTTCTTTTGGAGGCTTTTTCTTCCATGTTTGCCTCAAAGTGAGATGTTGAACCTTTGGTGAAAGTGTTTTCTTGAAGCTGTAACTGAGGAAACCAGTGAACTCAGTGTTTTAGGGCTTTGTTGACATTCTAAGGATCTAAATTCTTAGAGAGTTCAGAGTCAGAGGTGGGTTTTTTTTTTATTGGTTTTCTTTTGTTTTGTTTGTTTGTTTTTTGCTTGTAAACCCAAGAAAATCTGCTTTCCAAAGCAGTAACGTTTTGGAGACACAAAATAAGTGAGCTTTAAATGTCAAGGTAATCGAAGGGAAATGGAAAGTCTTGAAACTAATTGTTAACCTTTGATCAAAATGATTATTGGTCATTTTAATTGGAAGGTTCTGAGCTTCAAAAAGCAAATGACATCTTCATTACCTCATGTATGCAGAACAGGGAGGGAAGAGAAGAAAATGTAATGATGGAAGCAAATAATCTTTGTAGCTTCTTGGAATCACTAGGGGACACCATACTTGGGATGTACTGACCCTTTTTGCTATCTAGAAAGCTTTTAATGAAAGAGGAAAAGAACCTGGTGCTCTGTTGCTGCAAAGGTTAATAACATAAAATACTGATGAGCATTTTATGTAAGAAGCAAAGGCTGCAGATCTCATTATTTGGACCTCCTGATTATACGTGCATGTCCAACAAGAGAAGTGGTAAATGCATTTGACACATTTAAAGGCTTCTAGTGGACTGCATTCACATTTCTGATTCCATTCCCAGTGCACTTCAATAGAAATACAAGGACCACTGAGGTCACCTAGGCCATGTCCCTGCCCAGGCAAGCTTCTTCACTCACCAGACACTGGCAGGTAAGAGACACGTGTCCAGCTGCAATGAACATCCAGGTAAGGGCAGGATTTGGGTCTCAATTCACGGATTAACAATTGGCTGTAACTCATTGTCCATTTTGCTTGTATCAGTTTTAGGCAATGATCCTGATTACTCTTGCAAACCTACATCTAGAAAACCTGGGGAGAGGTTCTGAGTCATTGACTCTAGTAATTGGGACAGCGTGGACAAGTCTTCATTGCATCATGGGTGGGATGAGTTTACAAGGGGTCGTGTGGTGAAAAGCACCCAAAATACATCTTCCTCTTTGGGAATTTCAGAAAACAGAAGTCCTGGGACAAACAAGACAAGAATTGTAATGTGGGAACAGCGAGCAATGAAAATTGCAAGTTTTGACACAAATTAAATTTGCAAAGGCAGAAGCCAAGCCCAGTAACGTGGCAACGAAG